ATTTTTGGAGGTTTGTGAATAAATAGCGATGCTATGGTTGTTATGTGCAGATCTATGGATTTTCTGTTCTCATTATAAATTTTTGTGGCTACAATTTACAGGAAAATTTAATTTACTGCATGATTTTTTTTATATTAATATTGTACCCAAAACAGGTATGCCTAATTGTTAGATCTGTGTGATTTATCATATGTCAAAGTCTGCATGTAGAAAGTATTGTTCAGGAGGGATTCTCTATAAAATACAGCTTTTCTAAGTAATGTCCTTGACATTTTAAGTTGAAATTTGAATCTGAAATATGTTTTTTCTCTCAAAAGGATTAAGAAAAAGAGATAATTTTAAAGTTGCCTAAAAGACAATATATAGTAAATAAATTAAACTGTATTTTTAGTGCTAAATGTACCTTCCTTATGACGTGAATTTAACTACATTTTCAGTTCTACTGGTCAACTAAAAAGAGTTCGGATAGGATATTTTAGTTACAAGGAATTTTTCATGAATTTTGTAAGCAATTGTTTACTCTCTTCCTTATCTCTTTAATGCTCTTAAAAATAACCTGGTATATATAAAATTCGAAGTCCAATTTACTTCCTTATATTGGAATTGTACTGTTTGTTAGATGATCTAGTTATAATAAATATCATTTTGAATTTGAATAAGAAGCAATAGCATTTTCAGGTTACAAGCACAAGTGGGCATAGGAAATGTACGTACTTCACAAGAAAGAGCAGACAAAGCGACAAGTATTTCTATAGATGAAAGCTGGAACGTGCATACAAGGACCCTCTTATCCCCAAAATCAAATACTGACGAGAGTTTAGACAAACATGAACAAATACATGACCGTTTACTACCTGATTATGCGGGAATGCATGTACGTCGTTTTATTACCTCAATACCAATAGTTTGTTTACAAAGTGAGGGTTAAGATTTTTTGATAATTTTTTTTTATTTGATAACTTAATTATATTTAAAAAAAAAACATTCCACTAGAGGGCATGCAACCTAATTAAGAGAGAGAGAGAGAGAGAGAGAGAGAGAGAGAAACTATTTTACTTACTATGGGAAGAAATGTCGGTGATAAAATTTTCCCGTTAAAGGCAATGATTAAATCAAACGTAGCTTATAGCATTTTTTTTTCTTTTAGCTAAACGAAAAACAGGAGCCGGGAGGACATGTGTTTCAAAGGTAAAATAATCCCCATCTTCGATTTTTCAGACTTACTTTGAATTTAAATTCCGTTATATTGATTGATTGATTGTTTGTTGTTTAACGTCCCTCTGCAGAATTTTTCACTCATATGGAGACGCCACCATTTGCCGGTGGAGGGCTACAAATTTGTCCTATGCTCGGCACTCAGGGCCTTTGAGCAGTGAGGGATCTTTTTCGTGCCAGCACCTACTGCGACACAGGGCCTCGGTTTATACGGTCTTATCCGAAGGACCGGTCTCTACGTCCCGCAGGAGGATTCGAAATCGCGACGTAAGGATTTACTCCTTACTTCGCAACTCTAGAGCAGACGCTCTAACCACTGCGCCACGTGGGCGACTAATTTCCGTTATAAGAAAATAATGTAAATAAAAACAAATATTTGTATAATTGTTAACATCCATATTTTCTTATTGTTTTAAAAGCAATAATTCTAAGATGGATGATCAAATTCATGCTGCTGCTGAATATGAAGATTCCGTTTCACAAGACATTTGGATTCCACCGACGACTTATAAGATCTCTAGCCCTAAAAAAGAAGAGTTATTGATTAAAACTATAAATTTTCCGAGGTACAGTTTTCCTCATAATTAAGTTGTTAATGTAGTAAAGTGTTTTCAATTCAATAATTAATACTTAATAAATATTAAAATAAGACAAAATTCCTATTAAAGACATCTAAAACATGTTCAGTTCATGTGTGTAATTCTGAAGTTTTGCACTGTTCCTTTTTGTAATGTTTTATGGACTTTTACACTTGAATACTGTTCGTTGTTTCCCTACATTTGATGCTAAGCTTGTACTTTATGCATAATGTTAAAATACATGTTAGAATGCATGATAAGAAATTTGTCAAAGATAATCATCGTAGTGGTCTAAAATATTACATTTCGACGTCCAAAAAAATACCAACAATTTAAGGACTCTAAAAACCTTCAAAAGTCCAGCAAAGAGTTTTGAATCAAAAATTAAATCCTTAGAGCGACTTATAGAAGAGTATATGCAGTTCATTTTCCCATTGCTGAATTGCAACTTTCACTTCAAAGTGCAGAGCGCATGCGAAGGAACAGTTGCTACCAATTTTAAACTGTATGAATATTGAATTCAAAATGCAAAATATTGTTCAAAATGAATATTGTAAGTTAACAAAAAAAAAAATAAGTTATATGTAAACAAAGATAAACATGTATGACAAATACTACACTTTGAAGAAAATATTCATCATGTTTTAGCAATTTACCAAATGTTTTATAGTATGTATTCATACCATTTCATGTACTCTAAGGGACTGTGTGACAAAAAGTAGTCCAGAAGAGGAATTAAGTGTTTTGTTCGACGAACTTAAATTCATTCTTGAAAATGATGCATATGATGAAAGTCAAAGAAAAAGTCTACGGGAATCCTATCCGGAATATCTTAAAATAATTGAAAAACGGAAGAACGATCTTTTGAAAGATGATCATGGAATTGTAATTGCAGGTAATTTTGCAGCAAATTTCAAATGTTGATTAAGTTGAAATGAAAGAATGAACATACTTGTTGCAAATTTATATTTCAAGCATTTCATAACATGTATATAAAGTGCTTCAAACCTGATAAAATCTTGTAAATGAAACAAAAAATATCTGTTTTAAATGTATTTTAACAACAGAATATTTAACAAGCGGTATAACATGTAATTTTAGCATATAATCGATAGAATAGAATCTATGTTGGTTCGCAGCACTTTTTTAAACTACGATCTTTGTATAAATGGATATTTTATCTGGAAAATCAGCTGATATTGAAGCATTGAATTAATATTTTTGGGATGCCTTCGGTCCTATAACACATCTGGCCGTGCTTACAATTTGAATACCACGCGTTAGCGCGGTATGATAATTTGTCGGCACGTCCAGAAGTGTTATAGGACCAAAGACATCCTAAAATATCAATTCACTGCTTATATTCACATTCTTTAATTTTTTCTCTCTTTATAATGAATGTGTAAAAATTGAATGATGTTTCATAGAATGTTTTTTTAGGTGAGCCAAGTGCAGGGAAATCAACGTTGACAAACAAACTACTACAGAAGAGAATATTTAAATGCAGGAAAAGGGAATCCACATCTACACTTTGTACAATTAGAAATTCTGAAGATATAAGGATTATCACTGAAGGTACAAATGGGGAAACACAAACAATATCTTTACCAAGTACATGCAATATCGAAACGGAAAGTGGACAAAAGTTACTGAGAGATACATTGAAAAATCTTACCTCTTCGCAGGAAAGCAAACATTTTTGTTCTATAGACGTAGGATTTCCGATACCTTTTCTGAAGGTGAGAATTAATAAAAAAAATAAATAAAATTCTATAAAAGAAATAATTGTCATTTGGTGGTCGTGTTTGTAAATTTAATAATTCAAGATGACCCTGTTTTTTTTTTATTTTATTTTACCTAATAGGGCAATACAATCATCATTGATGCTCCGGGAATAGATGATTCAGGAGATTTTACCAAGAAATTGATGGATTACCTCCCAAATGCGGTTTCTTTTATTTTTGTCATCGATGTAAATCGTCTTGGTTGCATGCATGATGAAAAGGTACTTTTTATGTCTCATAAGATATCTTCTTTTGACAAATGAATAAGGCGTAAATAAAGTAAATAAAGATAAATATTTTTTAGCAAATAAAACAACAGGGCAATGGGTCACAACTTCCACCTCTGTCCCTGATGCTCTCATCCACCAACAGATTATATTTCCTATATATTTATATATCAAATTTAATTGCTTGCCATGGCACCGTATAACACCCTGAGTTCACCCGAATCAATATGACTATATTTGCATGCCTTTGATGAAGATTTTTAATATTTTTCCATTATATTCCAAAATGGTTCACGTTGACCACAAGTTTCTCATGTACAGAGTTATCGATTCTTCAAATTTGTAATATACATATCAGTGTAAATGGTGTATACTAACTCTTTTCAAAGCTTGCGGGAATCCTGAGATCATTAATTAATCTTCAAATAGAAGACGAAATGCCATGCTTTGATCCCAAAGAAGTAATCTTCATAACAAATAAGTGGGACACCATAGCAAGAGATGGGAGTCATGACAAAGAAAGCAGCGATAAAAATCAAGATGAAAAGATCTGGAACGAACTCAAAAATGCTATCAAAACTATTTGGCCATTTGTAAAAGATGAAAATATTTTTAAAATGATCTTTACCATGTAATACTTGCAAAAAGATGGACAAAAGTTACTGAGAGCTATACATTGAAAACTCTTCCTCTTCAGGAAAGCAATACATTTTTTTAGAATAATAAACCAAATTATTTCACTCGTATTTGATATATTTGTTTAAAAATAATTACTTGTGGGTGTGTTTGTGGGAAGTTTATATGTTGGCATCAACGAACACGTATAGTTAGAATAAATATAATATTGTTCGGAAATGCAAGGTTTATAATTGGGTGTAGAAATGATTTATTTTTTTACCTTATAGTAAATTTTTTGTTCTATTCGGTCATGTATTGAGAATATCATGAACAGCGTTTCAAATGAATAGTTATACGAGAGCTGTTCAATAAAAAATGTCCTCGCTTAAAATGATAAAACAGTGTAAACTACTTCCGAAATGATATCTATCAAATTTGCTACGTGTTTAAAAGTCAATCATACAACATCAGATTTTATTTCCTATATATTTATATACAAATTCCGACTGCTTATAACACAATTTGTTCATCGGAAAAGATGATTACATTGACATGTACATTTTGTATGACAGTGCACATTTCTTACAAAATGGTTCACTTTTTTCACAAATTTTGCAATGTCATGCACACTTTGTTCTTTACTTTTAAATCTGTACATATACAAAATGGCAAAAAGGCTCTTGTTAAAGTGAGCGGTTGAAATTGATATCTTCAAATAGAATTACAATTCCTGTTTTGTCCTAAAGAAAACCATTAAATATGAATAAAAGTGTACAACGGGGAAAAGTTGAACACTTGATATCAAAATAAGATTTGTTTTGTGAAACACTATGCCAGCAATGATAACACAATTCGGGGATGGGACGTAGACGTGGTATAAACTTGAAAGATATTTTAAACAAAGTATTGTGTTATGGTTAATTACTGAACGCTTTATGAAACGCAATATTACATTTTTTCAAATGATGGTCAAAGGTTACAGTTGAAGTCACAATTTAATCTTCTCGTAAAATTAAATACAAGATTTTAGGAAGAAATCATAAAATGTCCTTTGCAACTTCCCTTTACTTTTGATCAAAAAGGAGTGTTAGCTATATAGTCATGATTTTCTGGGTTGGATGGGGGCAATTCATTGTGCAAGAAATGTTTGTAGAAGGTGATTTTAATCTATTGAAATTTAGTTCTTTTCAGTAAAAGAAGACATTTTTTAACATTAGTTTTAATGTTCACAAGAATGTTTACATTTTTCTTTTAATAGGGCCATTGAGCCATTTTAACGTGCCAAAATGAATCTTCTCAGTGCCTTGTCCAATTTAATTCATATTTAATCACTTTCACTTCAAAGTGCCGACCAGGAATTGTAATCAGAAGCAAATGTGTTTCAACCGTTCACGTTTTGACATTTGCCTTTTTGCCATTCTGTACATGTACAGACAAAAGTTAAGAGCACAAAGTGTGCACTGTGAACGGTTAAAATGTACATGTAAAGAAAAAAGTTATATCTAATTGTAAGTGTGCACTGTCATTGCAAAATGTACATGTCAATGTACATTTTAGAGCTGTACAAATTTCTTAAAATATCAAAACAGTGTGAACTATGTAAATGATGTCTATCAAATTTGTTATGTGTTTAAAAATCATCATACAACATGATAATTTGTTGAAATATAGCAAACAGCACATTAATTGATTTGTTATAATTTTTGTTGGCAAGGACGGTACCAATTTTTAATGCCAAATATTTTTTTTTACCTGCTCATTTGTCTTTAAAACAAACATTGGTTGTCTTAAATTTACATATTTTAATAAATATTTCTTTAGGACTCTTTATGAGTTTTACAGCAGCTTTAAGGAAGCGTTTCATCTCACTCTAGTTTACTGATTCTTTACCATTCACTTTTAAGGCAGTGTCTCGAATAGCCCTAAGTGTTTTCTAGCTTCTCAATAAAACTATGTGATGAAAAGTGGTCACATACATTGTTATAAATTCAGTAAAGATTCAATAATGAGAAGAAGGTAAACTTAATGACATATGATATCTGTATTGTATATCATAGCTATAGGGTTTAGGACATTATTTATTGAACAGCTCTCGTATTATTTTGCTAAAAATTGATTAAAAGAATCCAACAGATGACCTGTCAAGAAAATATATTTGTCGAATTGACTTCGTAAAGGTTGTTTTTGCTCTCTTTATTTGCCCTCTTATCATGCAATTCAATTTTAAAAAAATACAATTCCGTGAAACATTCTATATTGCATTCGATATTGCAAGTTTTTTTTTTCAAAGAGATTGTTAAGTAACGAGTCTTTCGGAATGTTTGACTTGAAGCAAGTGAAAACTAATTGTATTGTAAAGAGAAATCAGTAAAAGACACGTATGCCATTAGTTTTAATATGTTTATCGGAACCCTGGTCAAGTATCTGAATTCCTATAGGTATATATTTCAATGAACTAGCACATGCCAAGTAAAGTTGTAGCGTGCCTTTAACATAAGTTTTGGGTGACATGTGTTGAAAGTAGGTTAAACATTTAAATTTCTCAAAGTATGCTGTCAACATATCTCGGGCTCAAAAGACATATTGGAATTTCTTTGTGGTACATGTAACCATATATTGATATAAAAGTCTTGGTAGTAGTTGAATAAATTTTAGAAATTTAAATTGTAACACGTTATAAATACGGGTTATGTGTTTTTATACATCATTTTCAAAGGTGTCGTCAAAAGAGACGAATGCCTCAACAACAGCTTCAACAGAAGAATTTAAAAACTTCCGGAAGTCCTTAAATCGAGTTATTCTTGAAAGTGAAAGAACAAGGCTTGTGCAACATTTAAGGTAACAATTTTAATTCTATTTGTTTTAAAAAAAATTAGAAATTCCTAGTTATATGCATTTGAACAATAAAATTTATGAATAAAAATCGCGATAAAAGATTTAGAACCTTCAAATTTTTATGAATTTAAATTATTTATAATTTATCCAAGGTTTCTGCAAGATGTTTTGAAGAATATACGCAAAGGAATAGACTGTAGACTAGCGTTAGGCAAAAGAAGTGGAGAGGAACAGAGAGCCTTAGAAGAGAAGCATAATGCTAAAATGAAGGAATTAAAAACAAAATGCGTAGAGGTATTCTAAGGTTACAAAAAAATTGTATTTTTTTCCCTTACAGACAGCAAAAAATTTATATTTTTTCACGTAAATATCTCCCAATTATAAATGAAAGATTTCTTCTCTATCTCAATTTAGATTTTTTAAAGAAATCTATGAAGTCTCAATAGAAAGGACATAAATTGCTTGCATCAGTGTTGTTAACATCTTCTATTCTTGTTTTTTTTTTAATTGATATTTAGCTTCATAATTTTTTTTTAAAACTTTGTGTTTTAAGGTAAAATGTCAGGATAATAATTAAATAACATTATCTTTATGTAAAATATCAATTGTTATTTGTTGCTTTTTACATCAAACGAAACCATTTTTATATGAAAATCTGTCGTGTCTTTAGGAGGGAAGAAAATTGTTGGAGGACATGAAAAAGATGATTCAAGACGAAGCCGAAGAGATTTATGACTACATGTCTTCAGATCTTGGAAAGGATAAAATATTAAATCCACCAGGACACATGAATTTAATGGATATCCAGTATATCCCAAGCAGGCTCGAGAAAAAGGTCAAAGGGAGAGTAGAGATGTATGTTCAGGGTGTATTGCATTCAGAAAAAATCCAAGAAAAGTTTCTAATACTAAGGAGAAAGGCACTTGATTTTTATACTGAAGTTTCTTCCGATATTTCTGAAATAGAAGGAGAATGGACAAATAATTCAGAAGGAGCACACCATGAGGACTGTCAAGAAGTGTCAATGGCGCCATATATGACTGGTGTTATTGCTTCATCACCACTCTGGATACCAGCACTAGCGGTCGGTATTGGCTTGGCCATTGCTACGCTCGGTGTTGGTTTTGTTGCATCACCCATTATCGCTCCAGTTTTAGTGATACTTCTTCGGAAAGAAAGAAGACGAAAAATAATGGATAAGGAGTATGAAAATTGTATGCAAACAATTCGAAGTACAATATGTAATCATCTTAAAATTATGTATGGTGACGTACTTGAAAAACTTATTAAAAAGATTAGTACGGATATTCTACCAAGGAAGATAAGATCTTTGGAGAAATTGATCGAGGAAAGAAAAGTGGAAATAGAGATGAGCATTACCTTAATAAAACAGATTGACAGAAGCGGTAAGAACTGAAACAAATGGTATTTTTATCTCTTGGCGTAAAAGCCAATCAATTAACACTTGCTTTACACGAATTTCCTCACTCCACCCAAGTGTAAAAGGGGTACCTGGCTATAGACAGTGAAAGATATTGTCAGAATGTTAGTGTTCTAGCGCTGATTACGGCAGCTTGCACTGAGAAAGATTCTGGATTGTTAAGGTCTGCTGGGGTAATAATGATTGTAAAGCGCTTTGAGTAGCATTTATGCTAGAAAAGCGCTATATAAATCCAATCATTATTATTATTATTATTATTAATAGCTACCTAGGTATTTAAAGCTACCCAAAATAGCTATTTTTACCTACTTTCTGCTTTACTTGCATTTTATGGGCAAATGCAGGAACGGCGCAACATAGTGAGCACAAAATTTCTTGATACAGTCACACTGATGATGAATATAATAAAAATTTTGCCAAAAAATGAAAACTTTGTATATTATCAATTTTGCATAGAAACTAATGTTAAATTGCTGATTCAGGAATTAATCATTTTTTGACCAAAATTTTGTCGTATTCATCATTAGTGTGACCGTATCAAAAAATATGGTATTCACCATGTTGCGCCGTTTGGTCTTTCGGTCGCAAAATGCAAATATTATATAAAGTAGGTAAAAATAGCTACTTTTGGTAGCTTTAAATACCTAGGTAGCTATTAATAGCTACGTAGGTAGAAATAGTCTTTGGACTGGACCTGTTGAACTCATAGAGTGGTCCGTTGATAGACCTTCTAGACCTTAACTCCTTTTTTTCTTTGCACTTCATTCAACTCATCTTTAGAATAGAATACAGTTATAAATATCATAATGAAAAATTATATATAATTATATATAATTTATAGGTATATGTGTGTGAGGATCTATGGGTAAGTGATGGTCAGAGAGAGAGAGAGAGAGAGAGAGAGAGAGAGAGAGAGAGAGAGAGAGAGAGAGAGAGAGAGAGAGAGAGAGAGAGAGAAAGAGAGAGAGAGAGAGAGAGTATTTGTTCATAAGAAAACTATTTGAGTAATTTGTAGAATTTGAAAATGATTTGATATTTATACGTAGTTCTAGTATTTGTGGAACCAACCTCGTTCTATTTATATAAGACTGTCCAAGCCTACCTTAACTCCTGATGTAGATGTCACATCCAAAATTGAATGGATATTCTACTAAAACTAAAATAAATAAAACTATAGTCGGCCACTTTAATTTAAATATATTGATATACGAATTCACAAAATGAATATGAGTTAATATCAATTCTATGTAATTATCAAACAATATCAATAATGCTTGGCCACACTACATTTTCAATTTTAATGAAACTTTTTGTGTGAACTTACATTGTCACATCATTAATTGTTTTATGTATTTTTTTTATTTAAAAAAAAATATCTCGTTGCCATGGTAACGGACCTATTATTTCCCCTGTAAATTTTTCCTAAAATTTGACAAAAAAAAAAACGTGATTTTGTAGGTTTTACTGAATAAAAATGAGCCTAAAAAAACAAGACAATGAGAAAGTCTACTTTTGCTTCAAACTACCATTATCCCTCTTTGGTATAACAACATAATTTAAAAAAAACTGTAATTCTACATAATGGCTAAACATCGCTTATCTTCGGTGATTTTGGCATTTTGCCAAATTGAGAAAATTACCATTTTAGACCCTTTTTCAAAGCGATTTTTCAATACTTTGCACACTGAATTGAAATTCATGAAGCAGTGCATCGTATAGATGGTAAATAAGTTAGTCTAAACACATTAAAATATTTATGGGACATTTAAATATTTTTTTTTTAAAAAGCTGATGAAAAATTACCAAAAATCTACAAAATTTCCCTATTTCAAGGAACATATGCACACTTCATTACGTTCATATAGAAAAGAAATGTTCCTTTCTACCTGTTTCGATGTAATTTACAGTAACATTAGTCCATATCTAGGAGAAGTGTCATGTAAAAATATTCACATCCCATTTCCAAGATCATTAATACATGTAAATCTGTTCTTCGATAGAAGAACTATGAACACCTGCACAAAACGCCCCCCCCCCATCTTCCGTAAAATTGACAATTTTGAAGTACTTGTACACTAATTAGGGCATGTTTCAAATTTCCTGAAACTATCCCCTTAGATTGAAACTATTATGAAATAAAAATTTCCCTATCCATTCTCTGTTACCATGGAAACAGGAATGCAAGATATGTTACCAGGGATGGGGTAATCGTAATCAGTATTCGTAATCAGCTGTAATCGATTACAGTTTGCCAAGAAATCATGAGTAATCAGTAATTATCCATTTTTCTGATTACAAGTAATCGTAATTTAATCGATTACTCTGAAAAAAGCCCTGCAATCATGATTACTTTTTGATTACTTTATGATTACAATTATTATAACAAAGTTCATGAAATAATGATTTTTGATGATATTCAGTGAGCAAAGGTTATAGAAATTATAAGCTATTTTTAGTTAGGTGTCTTCTTTTAATGCTTCCAGAAATGCTTATAAGCAGGTCCATTGTCCAGACAATGAGTAAATTCTATTAGTTTCCTAGCTATATTCAGTAGTAATTTCAAAATACTTTAGCAGCTTAGTATATCACCATTTTGACTTGATATATTGTATAATCAAACTGGAAGAAAATTACTAAAGGATAATTTTAAAGTTCGATTTTTGTTTGGTTTCAATCAATTAACATGTGTGAAATGCTACATTTTGTTTTCCCTATAAAACAATTTTGAATAAACGTGTTTTTTTAAATTATCAAATATTCCTATGAGATGTGTACTGGGGTATCATCTAAAAATCACTTTGTTTGATTTTAGGTGTACAAAAAAGATATGTTAATTAATTAGTAAATTTGTAATAAAACACCGGTATACTGAAGTTGGGTCAGCTTGGGTTAAAACAATTATTGAACTATCCATGCTTGCCCCTTCCACGTGTTAATTCTTGTAAAAACATCTAGTAATGGGCAGCTTAATTGGAAAGTTCATCACTCATCAAGAAGGTCAATTACATGACCGTGTCACAATTCTCCATCGAATCCCTTTATGTATAACTATAATTATGTCCAGTTTGATTAATAAATTCTTTTTATGTCTATCTTAACAATAACACAGATATTTACTTGAATTAAAGATAGGAAATATGAACTTGATAAATCTTATGCATCTACCACCAAACTTTGTCTGGATTCTACCTTCAAAATATAAATAATATTTAAAAAGATAAGACTGAATAAAAACATTCTGTTGTCCTTAAACATTGAAGTGGGTTGGAATTCAGCTTTCACTTGCCTGGTTTCAAACAAAATTAATATGGCATCCCTTCTCAACCTGCAATGGTAAATAATTCCTGCACTTTCCAATATACACCGATTTCAAGCTAATTAAATGTGTATGTAATCCTTTAGAAAGTTGTTTTCTTTATTCTAGTATAAGAATTGTTCTGTTACTGGACAGTTATTAAATTTTGTTTAAAAAAATAGAAATAAGCAAGGTTTAAATTTAGATAAACTGGAATATTTTTAACAATTTAATTTACTTTCATATTTTAGGAGTGGTTACCTTGAAAAGAACAAAATCTAGGCTGTCCACTTTCTTGCAGAATGCACTTGAACTTCAGTCATGGCCTATTTGGTCCTGTTTTGGTTTACTGGTCTTACTTTTTTTTCTTTACTCATCTTATATGGTAAATCCTATGATGAAAAAATTATGAAAATAATTCATTTCATTCATACACAGACATGTTCATGTGTGTGGTCATCTTACCAGTAGTGAATATTTGCCTGAGTATCAAATAATTTGTTTAGAGTATTAAAAAACATGGTCAGTGTTTATACACAAATATCATTATAAATCAGAGGTGAATATTCTACATGTACATGTATATAGTTTCATTATACCTTCGCTTGAAAAGTGGTAGGGTATACTGTAATCGGTATGTCCGTCCATCCGTCTAGCTGTACGTCCATCTGTCTGTACGTCCGTCCGTCTGTTACGCTTAAGGCTACCCATCTCTTATCTGCAACTCCTCTTATACCACTGAGTGAAATTTAATGAAACTTTCACAGAATCTTTTTTTACATATTGCCATTGGGCTTTTCTTATTTCACTTTTTGATCTAACACATATTTGGGGTTTCCCGGCCACAGCAAAACATGGACTTAGTCATCAGTTATAACCATATGGGAGGCAGGGGTAGCATTTAGTGAGCTCACAGTAGCTCTAGTTAAATTTTGTTTTAACACTAAAACATAAGTGTACATTATATAATTTTTACTGTTTGCTTTCTGAAAAGATTATTATTATTCACACAAAATTGAACTATAGATTATACAGTACCGGTACTTCATAGACAAATGAAACAGTCTTTATAAACAAACATAACTCAATAAATATTTCCAGTGCATTCTTAACCTAGATCTAGTTTGTCAATACATATAGTACAATTTTGGATATATATTATAAATTTAAAGTTGAAATGATAAAAGCTATTAAATAAAACAATGACTTCAAAACAAACATTCTGTTTTCTATTTTTCTGCTTATGACCATATTTTCCTGATATATAGAATACTTTTTAAAAACTTAGCTACTTTATGCTTGTGCTCACACATTATTAACCTTTAATGCACTTTTTCTTTTATAGAAACAAACTTGCTCTAGCTAAATATTTTAACAACACAATTCTGTAAAATATGTGCCAAATGCCAATAAAGAATTGAATTAATAGGATTAACAATGAATAAAAACTGACAGAAGTGGAAATTATATTATAAACATAAAAAATGCACACTTAAAAGTCTCTCTCAGCACATCATAAAAAGTAAACTTACTGAATGACACAGATTTTATACGATCTCATTTATATTTCGAGGGGGGGGGGGGGCGGAGGGTGGGGGAGTCAGCTGTATCAGCAAGTAATGTTTATATGCTTCAAATTCAACTTTATTAAAAAAGAATTATTAATTCATTGGTCAGAAAGTCAAACTGTCAAAAGGTATAGTTCGCTTGATTTGATAAGGAATCACCACTGGCCACTACCTGTAAAACAACTGTGCATTGTAAGGCAAATAAAATTAAGAAAATATGCATTGGTTAACATGCATAAATTTACCTTCTGTCTTCATTGTTTGAGATGTCTAGCCTTCTTTTCTTCTTCCAGACTGTAAAACTTTGATAAGATCTTCGCTAGAAAATGGCCATGCAATGTTTACTAATACATATTGTACCTCCAAACGTTAGAGAGTAGTTCAAGAGAAGTAATTAGGAAGCAAAAAATGCCTCAAAATGTAGAAAAAAGTCATCTTTATCTTTGAATTTCTTTTACATCTTTGAATCTACCAATATTTTACATATTTTGATATAATCAAATATCTAAATATCAGCCTTTCATTATTAATAATTACTTAATTTGTAATCAGTAAACTCTACTAAACCAATCACCTATCTGATATGTTGTAATATGTCAAATGGCCATTTACAATTGAGATATTAAATAAAAACTACAGATATCATTACTTTAATCTGTAGTATTAAATTAAAATAATTAAAACATATTAAGTTATCTCTTTTTCATTACTGGACACAGTTTTTCCTGATAAGTACATGTTTTTTTCAAAATTAACGATATTGAGGAATTTTGCACCCCGGTTCTATGGCAACCAAGGGTTTATTTCATAAACCCACTTTAGATTTTACAATTAATGACATAGCTGCATAAAATTATTTTAAAAATTTCAAAATGTTTTTCTATGCGTGGCCAACCAATTTTGATAATTACAGAGAACTGATATTAAAACCTGAAGCAAAAGGCCTTGTTTCCCCATTTATCCCCGTTTAGCAAAACTGGTACAAAAATAATCCCATTTATTACGAGCTCCAAAACAATTTATCTTGTTGATGTTTTTGCAGCAAAATTTTATGATAACGTTTGTGTTTGTTGTTCAGAATCCACCCTAGACAAAAAGGCAGTGCTCAAAGAATTTGAGGGATGGCTTCGGAAGAAGTATAAGGATATAAAAATAGTTCATCTCTACATCGGGAAACAAATAAATGGTTTGAAGGACACTTTGGTTGTTGTTATCGATAACGTTGATGTCATTGAAGAAAAAACTTTTGATTATTGTGGTAAAATGTTCGACCTTTGTTTCAAACTCTGGATGAGGCCTTCCTCCGAATGCATGCGTATTTGTAAGTTTGAAAATGAGCATTGGCATAAAATCAAAGACGTTAAATTAGCAGAAATCGAACAAAGTTTGAAAATGTGTTCGACCTCACTTTTTGACGAGCACTCAAACTTAGAAATAGTAAGTGCCTCCGCATATCGATCAAAGAAAAATGGAGAAAATATTATTTTTGAACCTTGCATTGTTCTCTATTGTTCCTGCAAAGGAGTTGTACCATACAAGGAAAAAGAGTTTCCAAAACAGATAATGGGAAGAAATACTGACGTTAGGGAAGGATTTTTCTACCTGTTTCCAAACGACCGCTATTTTAAAAGAGCATCTGACGTGCTCGATCCATTGATGATTGGGGCAAGCATAGGAAGAAAAGGTATCACATTTTTAATCTGTTAAAAACTCTTTATTACTTAATTGTGGTTTTAAAATAATAAATTAACTTCATTGTGATGCGATGCAAATAAGAAAAATTATGATATAAAAATGACATTAAATTTATTGTATCAAAAATGCAAGATCAATACAAGATCAAATCTATAAAAATGCCATATGCAAAAGATGATTTTACTTTTACCTCGATAACTGATTCAAGTCCTTATCGTAAAAGTAGCTAAATCAGAATTCAATGGACTATTACATGTAATAGTGACACAAAAAATATACTAAATACCCCATGAATAAGTGAATGACACATCAAAATGTATTTAATTTCATATCTGAATGTTTATTTTAAAAGAGGTAAATAGTTATCTAACAAGAAAGCTTTCTGATTAACGTGATAACTTCAGCTCTTCACCCTCCCTTACTTATACATCAATATGCTTTTATCAACTGTATATGGGATTTAAAACAATTAAAAGATATAACCTTTTACAGATGAAAACAAAGAAGGAACTCTAGGTGGTTTTGTCACATTAAACAACGGGGAAGTAGGCATCATAACCTGTGGCCATGTGCTTTATGATTTTTCTACCAATGTTTCCCCACAGACTACAGCTGTCGAAGTAGTCCAACCATCATATGGCTATAGGAATACCAATAATGTTTGTGGTGTGCATATTAAATCTATTTTGGAAATACATCAAGGAGTAACAGTGGATGCATCACTGGCAAAACTGACAGATCGTGTTCCCCAGCGTGGACTTTTTGCAGAATTGATGACAAATGATTTACTGGGAGTTGGTGAATATCTTAATATTTAGATTTTATCTGTACTTTATAATAATCTATTTAATCATTTTATTGTTTGTAATAAATTTCAGTCTATATATGTGAGTGACTCATTGAGTAGTCACACTCTCTTGTTTTTCATATATATACATATTCATGGTAAAAGAACATGTTTCTTGTAGGATTCAGCTTGGAAAATCTTCCAGAATATGCATCTGGATCTACGCGTGATTATCGAAAAGAAAATACTAAACGTACCAACCTTTGCATAAAATTTGGTGCAAGAAGCGGGCTCACAAAAGGTTTCTTGTGTGTGAATGGCATGACTGCAAGATGTCGCGATGAACAAATGTATCTAACAAATCCAGCATCAGGAAGTACCTGTTTATATCGTTCACAACTAGAATTTGGAGGAATTGCGACAAAACCCTTTGCTGTGGAGGGAGACTCTGGAGCTCTTGTCTTTCAGGTCGATCCAAAGAGCAGTGAAGAGGAAGACGATAAATTATTTTGTATTGGGATGGTTGTGGGTGGGACATCTTACTGTACAACTGTGGTAACTCCAATTGAATCTATTTTAGAATCTTTAAATGTAAAAATGCACGTTTTCCCCGAGGAAAGTATGGAACAGTTGTAACAAACCCTCCGTATGTGAACTTTGCATCTCCATTTTTTTCATCTTATATATTTTTTGGGGATGATGATTTTCGACAATCTGTGAACGCCCGGGTTAGTAATACGGAAATGTAGATATTAAAGCATTATAACAACTGCTTTTTATTTTAAAAAAATCAAATTAATAATGATATAAGATTATTTTTTACGTAGATTTTATCAAGGGGAGACAGGGCACAGTTCACATGACTTAAAAGACAGATTACGTTAAAGTCGCTGCTGATGTACATATTAAACGTTGTTTAAATCAACAGTTATTGTGTAATTTTATTCAAAAATTGATTTAAAATTTATTATATATATCATTTTTTATGTATATAATTTTTTTTAACATATTTTAAAAATCTTGTCATCATTTAGATACTCTGAGTATTGTAACATTGCCAAATCTACACATCCGTTTTTCTTTACCATGAAGTCTAACGTAAATGATGTCATAGACTTAGAGTTTGATAGAGAACATATTAGCCACTCCAGTAATAAAACAGTTTTATTTCATGAAGGATATGGAAATAAACAACAGTTTTCAATATCAGTCAATAAAACAGTACAAAAATAGGAGCATCCAAAACATCAGAGGTGGGATCAGGTGCCATGGATGTGTGGGCATCCCCTGCAGACCGGTCGCACCCGCCGTGTGCTCCTTGTCATTATCAGGAAATAGCGGAAAATACGTATACGTCGTCAATTCATTGTATGAATAAAATTTGGACTAACAATTCGTATGAAAAACGTCATTCAGCACTTGACCATATGATAAACTGTGTTTGCTGACAAGGTCAATGTATCGACTATTAAACGTAGGAAATGATGACTTTCAACGGGGCTGTTGATATTCTTGTTTCATCTATTTGTTTCTATTTGTCAATAATTTACCTCGTTTTAGAAATTGAACATACATGTACGTAGAGCATGCTCTTGCGTACAATAAAGTTAAAATACAGGTATACTTAAGTCATCTCTACTGGCCGCCTGTTCTGCTAAGATTGCCAAATTTAAGTACGCTTCTAGTTACGGTCTTACGTTTTAGAGTGTATTTAAGTCCTACTTAAGCACAGTCTAAGACTTAAGTAGACTTTATGTTACAACTCCCCTGTAGAGGTGACTTAACTATATCTAAACTTACAAATATTTAGAAATATTTGCATATCCACTGCTCTCTCCTACTATGAACCTGCAGGCTTCAACTGCGTTCATAGGACTATAGACGCAATTGCTCCTGCTATGAGTGCAATTGCTCTATCACACTCGAGTAGAACAATCTCTACTACACATATGAAACGTTTCGAGAAGTATATATATGAAATGTTTCGTAAGAGGAATAAAAATAACTTTTTAATAATATTCTTTGAAAAAAGGGAAATTAATTATATTTCAAATTGGTAACTGATATCTTTAAAAATTCAATTTCGGTCAATGTATTTAATTGTATAATAAAACTTTTTAAAATTGTAGAGAATTGCCATATCTTATTTTTTTTGTATCATGCATATTTGTACAAAGAACGATAACTCTTAACACTTGGGTAATAACATTCAGAAAGAGAAAATTGATTTCAGCTATTAAAAGTATAAATAGAAAAACAAAAAAAAAATCATAGAAAAGCATTCTGGAGTAATAATCATTAAAAAAAAGCATTGAATTTCTCATTTTTCATCATAGTGTTAAATTATTGATTTTTGTCAGAGGGTTTTAATAACGTTGATCGATGACGTCACACTTGCATCAAAACAAAAATGTGATGATGGCGCTGCTTGTATCCAGATAACTGTGTTTGAGAGGGAATATTACTTTATAAATTGTTTGTGATTTATTATAGAAAAGGATCATTGATCAGGTTTACTGATTTTAAAGCCGTATGTTTTTCTTTACTGAAGACAATACGCTGCGTCCTTATGTAAGTCAGGATTTCCTCTGATATTCTTGAAAAAAAAATCAAAGAATGCAAATATAAGTAATAAACAACGATTATTCAGTGAACATGGCATTATGAATAGCAATAGCTCTGCTGGCATATTTTCCATGATGCGCTAGCGCGCATCATGGAATATGCCAGTAGAGCAATTGCTATTCATAACGCCATGTTCACTGAATAACGTTGTTTATTTCTTAATTATTCCATGTTGACTTTCGAGGTGGAAAGAGTCCTCTATTCATATTATGCATTAAAGAAAATAATTATCTCTATTTGACGCTGATTTAAGAATTTTATTTTTTCGTTCGGAAGGGGGGGGGGGTGATCACTGATTCAAATTTCACTCAAAACACAACATACATGTAAGTTCAAAATTCAGTTGTAGGAATACGTCTGAAATTAGTAGAACCTCGGTTATAGAAATAAATGGAACACAGTAATAAACTATGGATCTGTATGTTTACTTTGAAAATATGAGTTGAAATAATTTTATTAAAAACAGAAATGAAAGAGGATGATGCCTATAAAAGTAATAAAAAGTATCTGTAAAGTAGAATAAATGTAGAACTGTAAAACTGTATTTTACATACAACAATAAATTCCAGAGATCCAATCACAAAATGAAAAAAAGATCACTGTTAAACAAAGGACAAGATAGGGTAACAGCCGAATCTGGCCCCTAATTTGATATAAAAATCATAACACTGGTAAAATTGTGATAGTTTGTAGTTTAGAAGTTAAAATGGTACTTACTTTAAGACAAGCATTAATTTTGATTCAAAGCTTACATGGAAGCCGCTAGAGGGTAGAGAAATAGGGCATTTTCTAGAAATTTCTCAATTCTGGTGGAATTTCATCTTTTTGGGATACATTTCTCTTCGGAAAACATGGAGCACAAGCTTGCCTATCTGAGAATTTTACACATATACTGCATCTGATATCAGTGTATAAAATATATAAATTTTGTAGATAGTAAGCGTGTGCTCTATGTTTTCCAAAAGAAAATGTACTGTAAAATTAATGAAAATTTTGCATAAAAATGAGAAATTTCGAAAACTGACCTAATACCTGACGCCACTGTGACCCTGTATATTCTAAATCTTAAAACCAACACTCATTTTGTGCCAGGGGTGAAAACAGGTTTTCATGGATAAACTGTTGGATCATTTTGAAAGACACCCAAAATCGGGGGCCAAATACTGGCCTTACACTATCTTGTCCTTTCCTTCCTAATGAAAAGTGGATCAGAATGCAAAACTGCATTTATTTTCATTTAATATAATTAACATTTACCAATTATTGCAAAGAAATGTATATATTGCCATATTATTTGAAATTAGAGACTTCAGAATACAGAAGTATACATGTATCATGTATAAGTCATTATAAAAAACGTACAACCATTGTAAACATTATAATTCAAATTAAAACTGGTTCGATTCTGATGCTGAAGAGTCCGAAATACATGTACTTGCTACTTACCAGATATTTTTGATTTTTTCTTTTACGTTAGAAGTTCAATAAAGAAAAAGCCTGAATGAAGATAACTGAGAAGGAGTTATTGGCCTTGTAAACATTTTTGAAACATTGAAAAATTGATTAAATAAAGAAAATATACATTTTTAAATATATACAAACATTTTTTTTTACTTAACAATATTCATCATAACACATATTGAAAAGCATTCTTCCGAAAATATTGTGCTATTGAAAATAAATTCTAATTAACAACAGTTTTTGCAAAAACCTATGACATCATACGCGATGGAAATACATGTACCTTAAGAAATATCAATTAATACATTTAAAATATCTTCATCGATTTAAGTAACTTTATGAATATCCAAATGATAAAGATGCTTAAAATACAGTTATTATCTCCCTTTTGTTATGTAACGTGCAAGGGAGGTCACTGCCTGTGAACCCCCGCAGGCTCGTACCCGTGATAAAAACGGATAGCCTTGAGATGTTGCAAATATGTAAAATGCGCAGTCTTAATCACTTGGTACTGCGTATATAAGGTCTTTACTGGTAGCGAACCAGTGACACTGGCAGGGAAGTCCACACACCAGCGCACTTCCACAAGAGATAAGCAGGGATGACCGCACACTTGCCCTTGCGCAGTGACAAGCAGGGATGACCACGGACTTGACACTAATACGGTTCTAGTCTAGAGACACTGGCAGGGATGTCCGCACACCAACGCTCTACCACAAGATGCAGGCAGGGATGTCCACACACCTGATCTTGCGCAGCAACAAGCAGGGATGTCCACACACTTGTTGCTATGAGATGCCAATTACATAGCATGGATGACCACACACTCTGTCAAGCAATAAGAAGGGATGACCGCACACTTATCACTTATCACAGTACAATAAAAGCAGGGAAGTCCGCACAGTTAAATGCACTAACAAGATTTGTCGAGTTTTACCTCTAGTACCTCCATCGTAATCATCGCCACTAAAACATTTATATAGCCTTACACCATCTATAATACATAGTGATTATTTATTTACAAACTAATTAAAACACTAATCAAGCTTCCAATCAACCAATCTTTAGTTACCTAACTAAAAACTAAAGTAACATACAATGATTATAATTGATAACTTTAATTCAAATTCAACACTAATAAGTATTTATTTTCGAGGTGTATAATAAGTAATCAATAGTAACAAGGGCGATAACCTTTGCTATATTAAACATATAGGAAACAGCTTTCCGTTTCAGTTATAAACGTTGAAAGTATTTGCCCACATACATGAACACAATTGGTAACATGTACGAGGGTTGTCCAATTAAATCGTGGACAAAGCGTTTTTCTCGAAAAGTAACCGGCTCTCTTATCTGAAAATTTCAGTAAATGTTAATTTATCATATTTTAGTGCATCATAATTTTTTTTGATAATATAAAGACGAAAATAGAGATTTTATAATGCTTAAATATGTACAAGGTACGGTTCTTAACGGCGCACGGTAAAAAAACCCCAATGTTATATTAAATAATACAGAATTATTAATTGGAAATCAGCTTTACATACATAAGACTGGGATAAAACATATCCAAATTCGATTCCACAATCAATTTTGTCATCTTTAAAAAAATTTATTCATGCATTTGGTTAATTATTGGCA